TTATCACTTCGTAACAAAAAAAATAACGAATTTTAACGAATTACGAAATTACGAAACGAAACCGCCCAGCCCTACTAGATAGGGATACAAGACGTGGATTGGGATTCAAGTCTGGGGCTCAAGACCTGGATCTCTTTATGAACACAATAATCCTGGTGGCCACCATAAGAACATGGATACTAGGCCTGGGCGGTTTCGTTCGTTAATTTTGTAATTTGTTAAATATTCGTTAATTTTAGCAATTACAAAACGATTACAAAACTTATTTTTAAACCCGGAAGTGTTTTTAAATATCGAAACGGCATGCGCCAAAAAATTTTGTATTTCCGTCCATTTCGGAAATACGTAAGATGGCTTGGCTAGATGCTTGCTGGGAGCTCTCCTCTCTCTCCTCTCCTTAGCCAGTCAGAGCCTGAAAGAGGAGGAGGAGGAGGAGGAGGAGAGGGCGGGGAAGGCGCCGGCTGAGCAAGCGAGCGAGAGGGCGAGCGACCCTCAGCGGGAAGGCGGCCCGTCCCTCCTTCCTCACCTTTGCGGTGGGTGTGCTTCGTTCTCCCAATTCCTTAGCGGAGGGCTGTGCTTCGTTCTCCCAATTCCTTAGCGGAGGGCTGTGCTTCATTCTCCCAATTCCTTAGCGGAGGGCTGTGCTTCGTTCTCCCAATTCCTTAGCGGAGGGCTGTGCTTCGTTCTCCCAATTCCTTAGCGGAGGGCTGTGCTTCGCTCTCCCAATTCCTTAGCGGAGGGCTGGGCTAGATGGCCTTTGGGGAGCCCTTCTCCCAATTTCGCATTGCTTCGGAGGAGCCGGGCCCGACTCGGCGGCAGCGCTTGAGGGCCCGCCAGAGTGAGTGCCTGCCTTCCCTCCTTAATAATAATTTCTCCTCCCTATTCTACTAAATTAATAATTAAAAAAATATTGAAAAAATATTGAAAAAAAAAGGGCGCCATCTTTACAAAATGTTTTGTAAATATTAACGAAATTTCGTAAATACCGAACTTTTTTAAGGGAAAATTTTGTAATTATTTTAAATAACGAAACAAAAAAAAACCCCCAAATACAAATCGATTTTAGAAACAAATTTTTGCGTTGTTACCCAGGCCTAATGGATACACCATAAGATGTGAATTGGGATTCAAGACTAGGGCTCACGACCTGGATCCCTTTATGAACACAATAATCCTGGTGGCCACCATAAGACTTTTTCCCTTGTGAAAAGGTCCCTTTGGTATTTCTTTGGCTCTTCTTCACTGAGATGGAAACTTACTGGATGGGGATTTAAGACATGGATTGGGAGTCAAGACCTGAATCGGGGCTCAAGATCTGGATCCCTTTATGAACACAATAGTCCTGGTTGCCATCATAAGATTTGTTTCCTTGGTGAAAAACGCCCCTTGAGTGTTTCTTTGGCTCTTCTTCACTGGAATGGAACTTTATTGGATGGGGATACAAGACATGGATTGGAATTCAAGACCTGAATGGGGGCTCAAGACTTGGATTGGCAGTCAAGACCTGAATCGGGGCTCAAGATCTGGATCCCTTTATGAACACAACAGTCCTTGTGGCCACCATAAGATTTGTTTCCTTGGTGAAAAAGGTCCCTTGGGTGTTTCTTTGGCTCTTCTTCACTGGAATGGAACTTTATTGGATGTTGATACTAGATGTGGATTGGGATTCAAGACCTGAATGGTGGCTCAAGGCTTGGACCCCTTCATGATCACAAGAATCCTGAAGAACACCATGAGATGTTTTGCTTCCTTGTGAAATATTCCTAAGGGGTATGCAAGATCACCTTGCACAAAGGAAGGCTGAGGCCCATAAGGTCAAACAATATCAAGATGACCAAAGTTATCTATGAAGAAGAACATAATAGCTAGGAGAGGATGCAACAGTTTGCTTTGCCCTGAGCCAACTGGGAAGGGCAAGATTTCATTCTCTCTTCACTTGCCTACTAAATTTATTGAATGAAAACTACTTTTGCCTGTTGAACCCATTGATATCAATTTAAGTAAGTTGAGGATCAAGCTATATAAGAGAGCCTAAAGGTGCATTGTATAATGAATGTACTTAGATACTACGTTAAGTGCCATGGCTCAATGTTATGGAATCCTGGGAGTTGTCGAGTGAGTCACCAGTACTCTTTGGCAGGATAAGGTGAAGGAACTTCATTTGACTCCAAGGACACTCCTTCATGATATACAGCCTAGTTGTTGTCAAAGGCTACTCATAGAAACTCATTAGCTTTATCATGACGAGTTAAAGGAGTAGTGTTGCTTTCAGTAGTAATTTCAAACAGGGCGTTTAAGACAGGTATACTCACAGTTCCCACCAGAAAGAGTTCGTCAATTTTTAGTGGTCTAGAAGCCTTTTGGTGTTTTGTTGACTCGGGACTAGTCCTATTGAGTTTTCGGTACTCCAGTTCAAGGAGAGGGAGTAGAGGTGAAGGAACTTGTAGAACTACATCTCCCAGAATTCCACAGCAATGAGTCATGGCAAAGTGGGTATCCGATCTACAATGTAGATCAGAGGTTCTCAAACTTTTTCAGCTTTTTCAACTTTTTCAGTTCCCTGCCACTCATTGCTGTGGCCCAGTCTGTGTATATGTGTTTTGTGTATATGTGTGTTTACGCATATATATGTGGTTTTGTGTATGCATTGTAATGGTTTTTTTTTTGCTTTTAAAGTCTTTTCTGCTATGTATTTAGTGTTTTTATGAGTGAAGGTCACTTGTTGGCCTGACAGGTGTCTTGTGTCCAAGTTTGGTATCAATTTGTCCCGTGGTTTTTGAGTTATGTTAATCCCACAAACGAGCATTACATTTTTATTTATATAGATTACTAGCTGTCCCTTGCCAGGCGTTGCTGTGGCCCAGTCTGTTGATCTGGCAAATAAAGTAATGAGAAAGTGTTGGTTTCTACTATATGTAATTTCTTTCTGCTTGTGGGTAAACAGTATTTCTTGCTGTTTCTTTATCCGTGTTGATGTGGAGAGTGCCTGGTTTATCCACCCTGGAACATGGAACATATAGTTGTCCTTCTTTAAGGGTCCCTTTCAAATATATGATACTATATCTCTCTGTGTGAATCATATCTATCTATCTATCTATCTATCTATCTATCTATCTATCGATTTATGTCTATGGCTGGATGGGTCTTTGTGAGGAGGACTTTGGTTACATTTTCTTGCCCTAATGAAGGGATTTGGATTGGATGGCCTTAAGTATTTTCTGTTGGTCATGAAGGTTTTGTATGGGAAGTTTGCCCCAATTCTGTCGTTGGTGGGGTTCAGAACGCTCTTTGGTTGTAGGTGAACTATAAATCCCAGTAACTACAACTCCCAAATGTCAAGGTCCATTTCCCCAAACTCCATCTATGTCCATGTTGGGCATATGGAATATTTGTGCCAAGTTTGGTCCAGATCCATCATTGTTTGAGTCCATGGTAGTCTCTGGATGTAGGTGAACTACAACTCCCAAACTCAAGGTCAATGCTCATCAAACCCTTCTAGTGTTTTCTATTGGTAATGGGAGTCCTGTATGCCTCGGTTGGTTCAATTCTATCATGCTATTTGATTGTAGGTGAACTATAAATCCCAGCAACTACAACTCCCAAATGACAAAATCATAATTTTTTGAGTGATGGTCACTCCTTGTGTTGTGAGATGTTTTGTTGCCAAATTTGGTGTTATTTCATTCATTGGTTCCTTTGCTTTTAAGGTATTCATTATGCACAGTGTGTGTGTGTGTGTGTGTGTGTGTGTGTGTGTGTATATATCTCAGACATGAGAAAACTCTTTGACCAACAGAAATGTAACAGCATTTTAGTAGAAGACCACAGGGGTCATCCAGTCCAACTAGGCAGGAAAAGCACAATTAAGGCTCCCCAAATGTAGAATCGTAGAATCGTAGAATCGTGGAATCGTAGAATCGTAGAATCGTAGAATCATTGAGTTGGAAGAGACCTCGTGGGACATCCAGTCCAACCACCACCAAGAAGCATATGGCCACCCAGCTTTTGTACTACTACTACTACTACTATTACTCCTACTAGAAACCCCAGGGGTCATCCAGTCCAACCTCCAAGGTGAGGCAAAAAGGCTTTTGACACCAAGGGGGCTGAGGGAAAAAGGGCTTTTGCAGTGAGGGAGGATAGATGGAAAGGTTTTTGGTGGTGAAGGAGGCGGGGAAAGAGCAGGAAAGAGGAAAGAAAGCTTGGAGAGGGAGGAGGAGGAGGAGGAGGGAAGCATGAAGCTTCTCAGCATGCTTTGCAGAGCCCCAAGGGCTCAGTGGAGCACACTTTGAGAATTGCTGGTGTAGATGTACTTTGGAACATTTTAGACTCGGTCAGAAAAAGAGGATGACAGAGGACTAACTGAGATTGTCTCAGTCAAATATGAATGTTGTGTCACAAAATATATGATCTGTGTTTATGTTGTATCTAAAAATATGTGGTCTAAAATCAATGACAGGGTAAGCATGTCTAAAATGTAAAAAAACAGATGAAGAGATGAATTGAGGAGCACAGAACAAATCACCACATGCAGAAGCACCATAATTTTATAATTTTAATGCTGAGAGTTGCTACACAAGTAGAAGACGTTACAGAATCCCAAATCACCAAGAAGGAAAGAAGAACGTTAACTATTACGGAAACTGCAGAACTCTTTCATGCTCATTGGAGAGCTTCTCCAGAATTTTGCAAGAGAATAATCTTCCTTTTCTTGAAGGAGGCACACAAGAAGTCGTAGACAGTGAGATTAGTGGATGAGTCTAGGAAGAGCAACTGGTTTTGATGCTGATGTTCCAGATGTTGCATGGACAACATCCGCTAGGTTTACTTTCCAGGAATTAGCTCCTAGAAGGTTTAATTCTTATCATCTCCAGAACCTCCTTAGGATCAGTTAGGTCAACAGTTGGATGAATACATGCTGCAACCACAGCACCCGCCACAGCAACAGCAGGGAATGTAATTGTAACAGTATTGACCACCACAACAACAGGGGAGGCAGCATGATCGGTTCAAGGCGCACCGGGCACACACACAACGAGGACAGCAGCAGGGTATGTAGATGGAATACTTGACATGCTGATAGCAGCAAGAGGGAGAAGATTCACAGTCGGCGCATGGAGACTTGGGACAACAGCATGGAGAGCACCCACACTTGGAACATTTGGGACAGGTGCAAGGAGAACATCCACACTTGGAACATGGAGATTTGGGACAGGTGCAAGGAGAACATCCACACTTAGAACATGGAGATGTGGGACAGCAGCAGGGAGAACATCCACACTTGGAACATTTAGGACAGCAGCATGGAGAACATCCGCACTTGGAGCATGGAGAGCAGCAGGGAGAGCATTTACATTGATAACATGGAGTCTTGGAACAGCAACATGGAGAACATCCGCACTTGGAACATTTGGGACAGCAGCAAGGAGAACATCCACACTTGGAACATTTGGGACAGCAACATGGAGAACATCCACACTTAGAACATTTGGGACAGCAGCATGGTGAACATCCACACTTAGAACATTTGGAACAGCAGCAGGGAGAACATCCACACTTGGAACATTTGGGGCAGCAGCAAGGAGAACATCCACACTTGGAACATTTGGAGCAGCAACATGGAGAACATCCACACTTGGAACATTTGGGGCAGCAGCATGGTGAACATCCACACTTAGAACATTTGGAACAGCAGCAGGGAGAACACCCACACTTGGAACATTTGGGACAGCAGCATGGTGAGCATCCACACTTGGAACATTTGGAACAGCAGCAGGGGGAACATCCACACTTGGAGCATTTAGGGCAGCAACAAGGAGAACATCCACACTTGGAACATTTGGGACAGCAGCAGGGAGAACATCCACACTTGGAACACTTGGGACAGCAACAAGGAGAACATCCACACTTGGAACATTTGGGACAGCAGCAAGGAGAACATCCACACTTGGAGCACGGAGACTTGGAACAGCAGGGAGAACCTTTAGATTGACAACATGAAGACTTGGAACAGCAACATGGAGAACATCCACACTTGGAACACTTGGGACAGCAGCAAGGAGAACATCCACACTTGGAACATTTAGAACTGCAAGAAGAACTCTGACAGCAGCAGGGAGAACATCCACATTTGGAACACTTGGGACAGCAGCAAGGAGAACATCCACACTTGGAACATTTAGAACTGCAAGAACTCTGACAGCAGCAGGGAGAACATCCACATTTGGAGCACTTGGGACAGCAGCAAGGAGAACATCCACACTTGGAGCATGGAGACTTGGGAGAGCAGCAGGGAGATTTAGATTGACAACATGGAGACTTGGAACAGCAACATGGAGAACATCCACACTTGGAACATTTGGGACAGCAGCATGGTGAACATCCACACTTGGTACATTTGGGACAGCAGCAAGGAGAACATCCACACTTGGAGCATGGAGACTGGGAACAGCAGCATGGAGAACATTTACATTTGGAGCATGGAGACTTGGAACAAGATGGAGAGCAATCACCCTTGAGGCAGCTCCGAATCTGGGCACAGCACTTGGTCCAGGGAAGCTTTGAGCAACAGCAAGGGGAGCATCCGCACTTGCGACAACTGCGAACCTGGTTACAGCAGGTGCAGGGGGAGCATCCACATTGGGGACAGGTCATTTTGATGTTGTGGAACTGAAAGAAGTAAAGACAGTTATTATACACAACCTTCCAACATTCACAGACATGCCTTCTCCAATCAGACCATACATCTATGTGCTAGATTTGCATAAATTTGCTAATATGTTGACTGTTCCCTTGTATACATTCTGCCCCTTGCTGTTATCAAATCATTGTCCCATGACTTCTGGCTAGCTACTATGCTTTGCAAACCAAAAATCTAACTCTATCTGAACCCTGCAAGGAATGATAGAGAAGTGCTTCTGTTTCCCACCCATCCAATTTCCAGTTTCCAACTGAGCTAAGCTACAAAACAGTGGTTCTAAACCTGTGGGTCCCTAGATGTTTTAGGCCTTCAATTCCTAGGTCTATCACTCTATCATCTATCTATCAGGACCTGAAGGTAGGCCTCTCTTAGATCTATCACTCTATCAACCATCCATCTATCTATTGCAGTGGTTCTCAACCTCTGGCTCCTCAGATGTTTTGGCCTTCAACTCCTAGGTCTATCATGCTATCATCTATCTATCAGGACCTGAAGGTAGGCCTTTCTTAGGTTTATCACTCTATAATCCATCCATCTATCTATTGCAGTGGTTCTCAAGCTGAGCTCCTCAGATGTTTTGGCCTTCAACTCCTAGGTCTATCATACTATCATCTATCTGAAGGTAGGCCTTTCTTAGGTCTATCATTCTATTATCCATCCATCTGTCTAATGCAGTGGTTCTCAACCTGCGGGTCCTCAGATGTTTTGGCCTTCAACTTTTAGGTCCATCACTCCATCATCTATCTGTCAGTACCTGAAGGTAGGCCTCTCTTAGGTTTATCACTCTATCATCCATCTATCAGGACCTGAAGGAAGGCTTCTCTTAGGTCTATCACTCTATCATCCATCTATCTATCTATTTCAGTGGCTCTCAACCTGTGGGTTCCCAGATGTTTTGGTCTTCAACTCCTAGGTCTATCACTCTATCATCTAACTATCTATCAGGACCTGAAAGTAGGCCTCTCTTAGATCTATCACTCTATCATCCATCTATCTATCAGGACCTGAAGGTAGGCCTCTCTTAGGACTATCATTATATCATCCATCCATCTATCTAATGCAGTGGTTCTCAACCTGTGCGTCCTCAGATGTTTTGGCTTTCAACTCCTAGGTCTATCACTCTATAATCTATCTATGTCTATCTGGACCTGAAGGTAGGCCTCTCTTAGGTCTATCACTCTATCAACCATCCATCTATCTATTGCCGTTGTTCTCAACCTGTGGGTCCCCAGATGTTTTGGCCTTCAATTCCTAGGTCTATCACTCTAACATCTATCTATCAGTACCTGAAGGTAGGCCTCTCTTAGGTCTATCACTCTATCATCTATCCATCTATCTATTGCAATAGTTCTTAACCTGTGGGTCCCCAGATGTCTTGGCCTTCAATTCCTAGGTCTATCACTCTATCATCTATCTATATCTATCAGGAACTGAAGGTTGGCCTCTCTGAGGTCTATCACTCTATCATCTATCTATCTATCTATCAGGACCTGAAGGTAGACCTGTCTTAGGTCTATCACTCTATCACCCATCTATCTATCTAATGCAGTGGTTCTCAACCTGTGGGTCCCCAGATGTTTTGGCCTTCAACTCCCAGAAATCCTAACAGCTGGTAAACTGGCTGGGATTTCTGGGAGTTGTAGACCAAAACACTTGGGGACCCACAGGTTGAAGACCACTGAGTATTGCACTTCTACGTAAGCTGAGCTCAGGCCAAAATATCAGCCTGGGCTTTTGGTTGGATCTATTCCTTCTTAGCAGCACCAAACTCAGGGCAACATTTCATCCTGCCAGTTTGATGGTGGCAAGGAGAACTTTAGAAGCTCCTTAACTCTTAAGCTGTGTTGAGTCTCCTCAATAATAATAGAAAACAGGATCTTCTTACCAGCACCTTTATACACTCTACCACCTCTTTGGCTGGAGAGACCTTCCTTTCCTACCCAAACTGGGGAGGAATGAAGGAAGAGAATGAAGGAAACAGAAGCAAAGTTATCCACCGAATCTCGCCATGCAAGTTGGTTCAGAAAAGCCATTCATTAAGTCCTGTAGCTGGAAGAACCTCTATCTACATCCTTATTTACCTCCTCCCTGAGGTTTCAATTTGACTTACCTGGTTTAGCAGTGAGAACTTGTAAGCCCAGAGGAGACGCGAGCGGTGGAGTGAAGAAATGAGAGGCGGCGGAGTGGTTTTATACGGCTTCAGGACTCCGACCCTTAGGAAATGAGGCACTAGAAAAGAACGGGTCACTTCTTGATGACCTTTCCGAACACATGTCCATGCGCCGTGCCATCTTCCAAGCTAAGCCTTTTGATCTTTTTTTCCCTCTCTCCTCTTTCCACATCTTTCATTGTGAGAGAATTTTCCTAAGGTGTATAATTACAGGCCCTTAATGCTTGGCCACGGCATCATGGTTGCATCATGTGCACCAGAGGGCACTGGGAAAAATTGTCCCATGAGTTGGAATACGGGGAGAATGGACTGCCCTCCCAATGACCATCCATGTGGCTCAGCATCACAGCCGTTGCTCAACTGCACATGATTTGCTCACATTCTGGTTACCCCTTTAGACATTTCTTGCTAGAGGTCACACTTTTTGACAAGTTGTAATTAGCCACAACGTGAACATTTTTATTACATAATGGGAAAAAGATGAAACCAGTACCCTGGGGACCGCAAGGGATCTTCTTCACACCCCCTCCCTCATTTTAACCAATAATTTCATCCAACTTGGGTTTCTCCAGATTGGGTTACCACTGAACCCGGCTTCCAAAATTCATTTCCTAAGAGTCCCCCATAAGGAGAATATCAAAGTCAGAGGGTATCAAGAACCAGAAATTTTTCCAGTTGAATCCCTTGGTTATGCAATTTCCCATTGCTTTTCTGCTTCTCTTTTTGGAGATAGCCTACTTCTTTTTTTCTCCAAAATTTGCTTGTCTTGTAGCCTATCCACCTACTATCCCTTCTTCATCCTTTGTTCATTAACTCGACTTCCTTATATATTTCATTGGCTTTCTTCTAGGAAAGTGGTTCCCAACCTTTTTATTTTTTTTACCAGGGACCACTTGACAGGGACTACTTTGACCAGGGACCACTTGAACAGGGATCACTTGACCAAGAACTACTTTGACCAGGGACCACTTGACCAGGGACCACTTTGACCAGGGACCATTTGAACAGGGACTACTTTGACCATGGACCACTTTGACCAGGGACCACTTGAACAGGGACCACTTTGACCATGGACCACTTTGATCAGGGCCCACCTTGACCATGGACCACTTTGACCAGTGACCACTTTGACCAGTGACCACTTTGACCAGGAACCACTTGACCAGGGACCACTTGAACAGGGATCACTTGACCAGGGACCACTTTGACCAGGGACCACTTGTATGACTACTTTGACCAGGGGCCACTTGATCAGGTACCACTTGAACAGGGACTGGTCTGACCAGGGACTACTTTGACCAGGGACCACTTTGACCATGGACCACTTTGACCAGGGACCATTTGATCAGGGACCATTTTGACCAGGGACCACTTATACAAGGACTACTTTGAGCAGGGACCACTTGACCAAGGACCATTTGAACAGGGACTACTTTGACCAGGGGCCACTTGACCTGGGACTACTAGAACAGGGACCACTTGACCAGGGACCACTTTGACCAGGGACCACTTGACCAGGGACCATTTGAACAGGGACTACTTTGACCAGGGACCACTTGAACATGGACTACTTTGACCAGGAACCACTTGACCAGGGACCACTTTGACCAGGGACCACTTTGATCAGGGACCACTTCACCAGTCACCACTTTGAACAGGGTCCACTCTCCAATATTAGTACCAAAAGTGTTACGAATCAGTTTTTGGTCAGTTTTAGATTTGGTTTTGTTATTTGGGATACTGATTCAGAAAATTGCACTGGATAGATGACATCAACTCTAGATTCTGATACAGAACATATGCCATCCAGTAGTCACTGTCTGCTCACCCGCAACAAACCATATTTAATAATCTAGAACTGATGTGATACTAGTAATCTTTCGTGGGTAGTCAGCCTCTCTGCCTCCCGATCCCCGTTTCCCAAGATCAGTCGCTCTCATTGCCATGTGGTTTTGAGGCAATGATGTAGTAATGGTGAGGCCGCAGACCATATTTTTGTTCTTGTGGACCACTGGTGGTCTACAAACCATAGTTTGGGACCCCTATTCTAGGACCATCTGACCCAGGGCAATCTACTCAGACTACTGGGTGTTTTCCAAAGTTTGGTATTCCATGGTGGCCAAGTCAAATATGTTTTGGAATATTTTTTTTCTATGGGGTAGTTGAATCAGGGCTGTGTTGTCAAATGTCTAGGACTTTAGATATGATGATGTTATCTCTACTCCTTGGCGAGATACATTTTACATAGTTCCTGGAGGAAGGT